CTCTCAAAATTATTCATCATATTCCAGTTCATTTACAACATGGATTATGCACTTACTTACTTCACATAGCAGAGGCGATTGCAATCCATCTTCACGAACTTAACCTTTGCATTCAAAAGAAGTTCGTTCCATCAATTTCATTATCGTGGACGTCAACATGATACAACTTCTAGTATTAGTTTGTACACCTCTTCCCCTTCTTTCTTCTGTCAATATTCATTTGTTCGCCTATTGTTGTGTAATCACTTATTGTTTATGACTCAACATTCATCAAAAATCACTCCATCTACCTAAGAATGATCCGCTTCATATTTCCAATTTTATATACTCTACTGATTATCTGTATCTTAATTTCTAAAACTTATCATCTTCGCTACTTAGTTAAAACCTCTATGATTGCTGTTTAGCAACCCCTACCATTTGATTAAATTGTAAAACTATGTATTATGAAGACGTAATTGAAAAGGAATATATTTCATTGCTAGCTCAATCAGTCTTTCCTTCTAAATATTTAAAAACTACAAGCTAAATGATTTATGGATCCGTCTTGTCTGGTTTCAACGATTTCATAGCGTATACAATACCTTAAAAAGGGTCCCCTTAGTCGTCTTATTGACTAAACAGTTAAATAAACTTGTCACGTTGATTTTGCCCTTAGAATAGAGTAGAGCAAAAGCTTTCGTTATGATATTTGTAACTTCCCGTTTCTGTAGAGGGCAGAATTGCCTGATCTCTGCTGGTAGATGGGCTCCTATGTGGATGTCTTGACACTACCGGGTATTCATGATGCCATATTCATCTTGGTAAGGTGCAGGTATATGCGGTTAATGAGTCCTAAGTAGGATGAAACGCACGTCCTGGATTCCTCTGCAAGCCACCAAGATCAATATGGAACAAAAACTTTTATTCATCAACAATCAAATAGCGTTTCTATAAGAACATACGTTACACATTGATGATGTTAGTTGGGCTATGAGTGGAATCCAAGACGAAGGTCTCATCCTGTTGAAACGAATCAAGTGGATGTGTCTCTCTCCTAGTGAGTGGTGTACTTCCTACTAAGATTCAAACACAAGATCAGTGGCTCCAAAAGGCAGAGCATTATCCAGTAAGTGACTCCTTGTACGATGAATATGCTATAGTATTCACTACCAATAGATGTTGTTAAGAATAGCATGGTTCCTGGCTTCATTTGAGAATGCATTGTCAATTTTCTTTAGGTACGTTTGGCTACTTTACACAGTCTGTAAATACATCATGAAAGCGTGTGGAAGATTCAACTTCAGACTTATAAGCACCACTTACGAAGAACTCATTGACTCTTCCTCTATGCTTTTTTTCACTCAGCTTAATGGTAAGTAGCGAAAAGAATGCTGAAGCTGAATTTCTAAAACTCCAAGCAAAAGCTACTAGTTCTGAACCGTACTAGATGATTCGAGTTTGCGATTCCTAAAAAATTGATTCTCATAGCTGATAACTGAAGGATGAAACTACAAAGGAGATCTTCACGGCAGCCATCAAGACAAAATGGGAGACATCGAGCAACATCCCTGAAGAAACCTGTGTGGAAGAACACTGGAACTCTTTGAAAGAGATGTGGAAAGAAACCTGCACAACAGTATTAGGAAGGAAGAAGAAAGAAGACAAAGAGTGGAATGGATCTCGACGGATACCTGGAAGCTGATAGAGGAGAGGAGGATGGTGAAGCAGAAGATAAACGAGTGCAAGGATGCTCAACGACAAGAGGAACTGAGCACAATGTATAAAACACTACACTGGACAAAGAAGTGAAGAAGAGTGCACGCAAAGACAAAAGACACTTCTACGAAACACTGGCAAGTGAAGCAGAACAGGCTGCAGTTAAGAGAGACAGAGACCTGACGACATTGTATCAAATAACCAGGTTGCTATCAGGGAAGAGACCAACACAGATGAAACCAATAAAAGATGAAGAAGGAAATTTAATTACGAAAGAAGAGAAACAGAGGAAACGATGGGCCGACCACTTCAAGAAGCTCTTGAATCGACCACCACCTGCACTTCATCCAGAAATACCACCTGCAGCCGCTGAATTACAAGTGAACATAAATCCCCCAACGAAAATGGAAGTCCTGAACGCCATAAAGCTACTGAAATGTGTGAAAGCAGCAGGACCAGATGGAATACCGCCAGAAGCACTGAGAATAGATGCAGAGACAACAGCGGACATGCTCACACCACATCACTATTGCAGAAGGTGTGGAAGGAAGAGAAGGTACCTGCCCATTGATTGGAAGAAGGGTTACCTTGTCAAACTGCCGAAGAAAGGAGACCTGAGTGCTTGCAAGAACTGGCGCGGAATCACTCTCCTGTCCACCCCAAGTAAAATATTAAGCCGCATCATCCTGGAGAGGAGAGGCTTAAAGACGCACTGGATTCAAAACTGCGACCGGAACAGGCAGGCTTCAGGAAGTACAAATCATGTGCAGACCAAATTGCAACGCTGCACCACGCATCATCATAGAACAGAGCATAGAATGGCAATCAGCTCTCTACCTCAACTTCATCGACTTTGAGAAGGCCTTTGACAGCGTCGACCGAGAAGTAATTTGGAAACTGCTTCAATACTACGGAGTACCGCAAACCTTTATCCGCCTCATTCAACAACTATATGAAGATGCCACATGCCAAGTAATCCACAATGGGAAGATCAGTGATGCCTTTGAAGTGAAGACAGGAGTGAAACAAGGTTGCCTACTATCCCCCATGATATTCTTGATTGTGGTGGACTGGATCATGCAGCAAACAGTAGGCAGCGAGAAGAGGGGGATACACTGGACGACGGAAAAGAACCTAGAAGACTTGGATTTCGCCGATGACTTATGCCTAATGTCACATAAACTTGAAGATCTGCAGGCAAAAACTAACAAGTTGATAGAAGAGGCAGGGCAGCGAAGACGGGACTTCAGGTGAATATAGAGAAGACAGAAGTGATGAAGATACCGCACCACCACCATCAACAACAACAACAAACTCCAATCACCGTCAACGGGAGAAACTTGAAGGAAGTAACCTCCTTCACTTATCTAGGAAGCACTGTTTCAACTACAGGCGGGACGGACGAGGACGTCAAAGTCAGAATCGGAAAAGCAAGACAGGCGTTCATTAGCCTGAAACCAGTGTGGAGATCTTCTGCACTCAGCATGCGGAACAAGATACGGATTTTCAACACCAACGTCAAGTCAGTGCTCTTGTAGGGCTCAGAGACTTGGCGCGTCACGAAAGGTATTTCCAATAAACTACAGACATTCATCAACAACTGCTTACGCTCGCTGCTGAAGATCAGATGGCCAGAATAGTGAGAATAAGCAACAAGGAACTCTGGGGAGGAACCAACGAAGCAAGAACCTATCACGCAACAAATATGCAGGAAGAAGTGGAGATGGATTGGGCATGCACTGAGAAGGCCGACTGAGGACATCACGCGTCAGGCCAGTTACTCGAGTGGAATCCCCATGGGAAGCGACGAGTTGAACGTTTTAGCTGAGGGTGACATGGAGGAGGTCGTGCGAGGAGGAAATGAGAGGTTGTGGGCTGTCGTGGGACCAGGCTCAAAAGATCTCAGAGAACAGAGGTCACTGGAGGCGTGCTACTGAAGCCCTATGTTCCACTAGGAACCCAAGGGACTAATAATAAAATAATAATAATAATAATAAGAGAGATAACTAAGGATTATGCTGGTTTTTATCTTAAACTGTATATAGCAACATTTTTATGCATAAAACCGTTTCCTTCGTGCACTCAAATTACATGTGACATATATGAACAGTCGATATATTATTAAAATTGTTCTTGTTCAAGCTTACAAACAAGTCATGCAGAATAGAAATGGTCTTATTTATAGCCCCAGTTAATTGAAGTTTCACCATGCTATAATTATCATATGTTATGAAAAAACATTCAAAATGTATTAATATCAGTTTTTTTTCTTATTAGTATTATTTATAGTTGCTGTTCAACATTCAGTCTGATCACTTTAAGTAGGCTATGTTTATTTTGATTAAATTTAAGCAAAACCTATATTGAAGTTGTTGAAGCGGATTGATGCTTTAGAATGCTTCACTTGGTCTTTAAGAGAAAATCGACTGGACCTTGTTATTCATCATATAAATGTGATGCGTTTTATAATATGTAATCATTTTTGAAGCAACGACTTCCTTCTATGAGCCTATACTGATATCTTCTTGGTATTCGTGCCTAAACACTGACCAATAGAACATTAGTATCGGTAGAAAGCTAACTGTCATAAGCGAAAGCAAGCTTGTAATGTGGTAACTGCTTAAAATTCAGAAGTATTTTGCCAGATTATCTTGTTTAAAAGTAGTACAAAGTGTCTCCATCCTTTGAGTTCCTGTGTTACAAACTGGGTTGAAGTAACTAAGACCTTACCGAGAAAGTAACTTATTATCTTGGACAGCTGATGGTTTCCAATGTTTGAACAACTCGAGTCACTGAGTTGAATTTGTCCTGGTACACTGCCGATAAGCTGAACCTCACATGCGTGGAAACGCTTTCCAGTGTTTAGATCATACTGACCTGGCTAGCGAAATCTACTCATATTCTACAGTAGTATATTTTGCTAGAAGTATATTTCTTCATATATGGAATACTAATGATTACGTCAATGATTCCTATGACTATGATTTGTGATCTGCTTGAAAAATATCTATGTGATATTTATTCTTCATCTTCCAACTACATTTGTCTTGATCTAGTTTGAGTTTCGTAATTAGTGTACACCAAACACCCCCAAAAGAAAGTGAATCCAAAATTTCATGCAATATGGTGACCATGTCACCAGATGGTTTATATAGTCACTATCAGTGATTTTGTTGTCATCGCATAACCACAAACCCATTGTCCAACCCAATCTGATCGACTCTATAGGTCATAGATTCTGATTAGAAGGTTAATGGGTGCCTTCTTTGTTTATATGTAGTAATACTATAAACATGTTATTGGCGAAACTTGAAGTGACACATGTAAGTAAGAGGTAAGTAGCTAGGGGAAACAAAAAAGAAGTCTTATAACTTTATATATGTAATTATTTTGAGAGGAATAATTTAGATATCCCGTCCAAAAATAACTGTCATTCAACTGGATTTGATTTTTACTCAATTTCCTCTTTTCTGTATCCCTGTTTTTAATAATATTACTTTGAATATATATTTTTCATAGTGTAGAGTAATATGAAATAGATTTCTGAAAGTTACTTCACACTGAAAGGAATACTTCTTTTCCAGCCGAGATCATCACGTTTCGATCGATATGCTTTGTAAAACGAAGATCTTGATAACGGATAAAAGAAGGCTGATGATGATGATGATGATGATGATGACGATGAATGCTGTCTATCTACTGACTGTTGTTTTAATAGATTTTCAGTTAATTTTCTGAGTAGATTTCTTGAAGCCATCTGATTTCCATGTTGTTCATATTGTTCCTGTTGGTGATGATTATCATTTTTATAATTGTTTCGATATTTATCATATCTATTCAAGTGCGATATTCTATCTTCATTAGGTTGTTGTCTTTGTCGTGAAATAACATCATTATCAGTCATTATTGAATTATCTTCAATATTTTCAAATAGATTAGGATGTAGTAAATTGTTTGAGTCAACAAAACTGTCAACATATTCTTCAATATTGAACAGCGCATAATTCACGTGGAGCAGTGTTCAAAGCAAAAACATAGAGATGAAGATAGAAAAAACAAGAAATGCAAAACAATAAAGTTATCTGGAGAAAAAATTGAAATATTTTGGAGTTTTATTTAAAATCTATGCTGTAAAGCAATGCTGGTATCAGTTAACTTTAAAAATGTTATTGGTAGGTTACTTGAGCACGAATTTACTAAGCGTAAACCTACAGATTTAGGAATATGTCTTCTGTTGTTAACAAGGCTATAAGATACTGTTGATTTCCATGTTCTATCTTTTTTTCGACTTTTTTCTGGTCAAATTTTGTCCCAGTCGTTTTATCCAGCTTCATGGTAATAAGGCTTTTTAAACAAGTTTCTGGAATATACTTAAAAATTTTTATCGCAATAGACAACGAGGAAAATACAAATTCAGACCTAAAATTCTTCTAGGTAAAACGTTCTAAACTTGTTGTAACAAAGTTTCACTATTGGTGATAATGAACGTCTGAAGTATTGTATCATGAATAACTGTTTAAATGATAGGAAATCAATGGTAAATCGTCAGGGAAAATGTTGCACACAACTCTCACACGCGTAGACGTACATAAAAAAACCAACAAATAAATTTCTCGATTATTTTTACAAGAAATTTCATCGTGTTCATCAGGTATCCATTCTCAATTTTTACCTATTCAACCAATAGTCGTCTATATGAAGAAATGAGTTAACTATTGAATGACCAAGGGGAGAAGTGAGTATATTGGTTGCAGAAATATCCCTCAAGGTCAAATGTCAATTAACAGCAATATGTAGATAAGAAATTGATGCTCATGTACATTGGAGTGCAATAATTTAGAAGGAAATTACCTGACAGATAAAGCAAATTCAGCAAACAGCGGTTTTAGTACAAACAGCTTGATTCATCGACCTTATGGTGGAAAATAAGACAATTTTCAACATAGTTAGTGAAAACGCAATTTACATTTCATTCTAAGAACAATCTTCACCTACAATATTTTGCAACCCTTACATTATTTTCATTTCCATTTCTCCCGTTTGTTCCTAGGTTCCTAAGTTCAATAGCACATCAAAATTTCACACTCTTCTGTGCAGTCTTCCTTTACTACCTCCATCCATCACTACACAAAAGCTTTCATTTATTCCTCACACCATCTACCCCATATCACCATCACACGTCCAACTCGTCGTTTCCCAGTTAGTTTCCACTCCATGGCATGGCATGGCCTTACATGGCCTGACTTTGCCTGGCGCCTCATGTCCACAAACCGTCTTCTCAGTCTATGTCCAATTCAATCCAATTCAATACATCTCCACCTTCTTCTCCTGCATATTTGTTCAGTGATAGGTTGTTGGTTGGTTCGTTGGCTGGCTCGTTGTCAGCCACGTAGCCAGCCAGCCAGCCAACCAGCCAGCCAGCCAAACAGTCAGTCAGACAGTCAGTCACAGTGAGTTCCTTGTTACTTATTCTTATTATTCTGGCCATCTGATCTGATCTGATCTCCAGTATCGAGTGAGTGTAGGTGGCAGCTGTTCATGTATGATGTCTGCAGTTGGTAGCAAATGCTTTGCGCAACGTGCCACGTCTCCCAACCATCACGGACAAGCACCTACCTGACATGACCTACCTGACTGACTGACATTAGTGTTGAAAATCCGGATCTTGTTCAGACTTTATTCTGAGTACAGTGGAGTGCAGAGCAGAGCAGAGCAGAGCAGAGCAGAGTAAAGCAGCACAGCAGATCTTCCCATTGATTATTTCACACTGATGAATGAAGTGGTATCTTGCTATCTTTCCGATCCTGACTGACTTCGACATCCTCATCTGTGCCTGTGTCGCTGCCTCCTGTACTTGAGACGATGCTACCTGCCCAGGTGGGTAGGTAGGTAGGTAGGTAGGTAGGTAGGTAGGGAGGTAGGTGGGTAGGTGGGTGGGTGAAGGAAATAACTTCCTTTCGATCTCTCCCATTGATATTGATTAGCACTTGTTGTTACTGTTGTTCGTTGGTTGGTTGGTTGGTTGTTTGGTTGAGTATCTCCATCACCTCCGTCTTCTCTACGTTCACGTGAAGGAAGTGCCGTCTTCGCTGCCCTGCCCTGCCCTGCCCTGCTCTGCCCCACCCTGCCAACTTGTTACTTTTCGCCTGTACAACTTCGAGTTTGCGCGACACAAGACATTAGACACAAATCAGCATGGACCAAATCCAAATGTTCTAGGGTCTTTACATCGGTCGAACAGCGTGTCTGCCCATCTTCTCGCTGTTCACAATTTGACGCATGATCCACTCCACTCCACTCCACTCCACTCCAGTCCAGTCCACCACAATCAGCAATGTCATCGGTAACAGTAGGTGGCAACCTTGTCTGACCTGTCAACCTGTCTTCACTTCACAGGCATCACTCAGCTTTCCATTGTCAATCACTTGGCATGTAGCATCCTCATATAGCATCATATAGCTGCTGTTCAATGATGTTGATAAGTGTTTGTGTTACTCGAAGCGTAGTGTTGAAGCAGTTGTCAAACTGTTTCTTGGTCGACGCTATCGAGGTCCTATTCAAAGTGGATGAAGTTGAGGTCGGGAGTAGCCATTCTTCCATTTTATGCTCTATTCTATGATGATGCGTAGTGTAGCATTGCAGTTTATTCCACACATGATTTGTTTTTCCTGTAGTGAGCCAGCCAGCCTGTTCTGGTCGTAATTTGGAATCAGGAGTATTCTGTATTCTCTCTAGGATTGTGAGGTCTGATATTTTTCTTGGGGTGGACAGGAGTGGAGCATTATTCCACACCAGTTCTGCTAATTGTTGCAGTGGATCAATAACTGAAGGATACTAAATATGTTACGACAGTTTGCTCAAGCTTCACGACCTTCATTTGATCTCATACATGGGTTATTCTAATCACATTAGTTATACTAGTCCTGATGGAAAAGAAATTTGTGTTACATAAATACTTTTACCAGTGGGTATTTTAAAACTGAAGCATTAATTCTGATGACTTTAACAAGGCATTACTATACAGTAACACATTTCGTTCGCTTATGTATGTATATGTGCTATGTATTGTCTCCATCCGAAGTTCTTTTGTAATTTTAATTTTTTTCAGCTCATTAGATAACAGTTTCAATGAAATGAGAATAGCGCAGATTTCTTCTCAAAGTGCTTGTTAATAAAAAAATTTTAATTGGTTGGAAGATAGAGATTAGTTTATCAATGAGAAATATTTTGTAGCTTTGCATTGAATTAAGGAATATTTCATCGATTAAATTGTCTATTGTTTCTTGTTTAGTATCAATGTAAGAAACGTTGTTTACAGAGACAGTAATAAAAAAATATACAAGGATATATAGTCATGAATGGACTTTTCAACAAATCATTTTCAGAAGCTGTACACTTGTAGTCATAGTTACGACGGAAATTAATGTTCATCGAATGGCTAAAAGTTTACCAGAAGATCAGAAAATAATGATGAATAGTGACTAAGAGTGGAATTCAGGACACATATCCAGTCCTTTCTGATACCAGTCAGCTAGAATGCCTTCTTCTCATTAAGAGATTAATTTCACACGAAAAATCCAACCTACAATCGACTGCTTCGAATGCCAGAGTATCATGCACTAGGCTATTCAGTTACAGTGGACTCTGAGTGGCCTCAAACAATTTACTACATCCTAATCTATTTGAAAATATTGAAGATAATTCAATAATGACTGATAATGATGTTATTTCACGACAAAGACAACAACCTAATGAAGATAGAATATCGCACTTGAATAGATATGATAAATATCGAAACAATTATAAAAATGATAATCATCAGTACCATGAACAGTAGAAACAAACTAAGTGGCCTGGTGGATAACGTTCTAGCATTCGATGCGACTCATTGTACATTTGAACCACAGTGGGAAGAACATCATTTACTAGGAGGCAAGTATATTCAAATAACGAGTTACAAAAGTAGAATGGAACCGCCGTCTTAAATTCCATTACAAGCCACTATCCATGAATAATATATGATTGAAACACAGGTAATATGGAGTCATTTGCACAGAAGCGCATTGACTAACAGTCGCCAGTCGATTTCATACGATCAAAGACAGGTATTCATAAGATGTCACATCGAATTCATTAAAAACTGTTACTAGAATTACAAACTGATTACGTTTAGGAAGAAAAAACACAAAATCATCCAAGATTGTTCATAAGATTACGTGACAGTGATCCATTCGTTATTGATGCACAGTTATCTCAGTTGTGACTAGAAACAAGAATGTTCAGCTTCTGAAAATGATTTGTTGAAAAGAAAACTCTTTTCTTTTGATTGTTTTCGTTAAATTTTGTTAATTTTTTTTTTAGCAGCGATTCATTTAATTGTTTGGTTGTTGGTTATTATAAAATGTTGATTTCAATCAATCTTTAAAGTTGTACTGGAATCCCATTACGTTTATGAATTTATTATGATAAATATTCATTATTATAGGATAGTTTTACAGCTAATTAACATGCTCTTTTAATTGGCGTACAAGTGGTCCACTAGCTTATTTGTCCATTTTTCTGATTTAAAGACTAAATTCTCCTTGATGGCTAGCTCTAGATTCAGGACGCGCTTTTCGTGCTATTTGTGGGGCGTTACCTGGATGTAACTACATTTCGGTGGATGATGTTGTTTCCCTGAGACTGTTACTTGGTATGTAACGCTTTTAAACGCCAAACAGTCATCCAGTTTGACACAAGAGCCACCTCTTATGCAAAAGGTGCCAATTGCTGTTCATTAACACTTGTAGTTTCCCCCTGCAATACAGACTCGAACTGTTCGACCTATGTTGGGATATTCGCTGTAATGCGGCCAATTCGATACTATTTGAGTATTAATTGTAATGCTTCACAAAGGATGTTTTTAGAGTACACTGTAATTTTATTGCTCACTTCAACTTTGCCAGAATTAATAAAAATATGCATGGAAAATATAGATTGGCTAATTGAGAGCTATTAGAAGAAGGTTTCAAGTCCACTATATGCTATAAATTACAGAATCACAGTCAAATGTAAAAATTCAACTGTAGATATGAACTGCTTGGTTTACAAACTGGTACTGAATTTCTGAATTTTAGCGCAATACGCTAAAACACCATAAAATATATCCGTTCAAAGCTAAAATAAAAGTCTGTTGATTTCTCAGACGTTTATCACCTTCATTTTGCTTTTTAAAGTGTCAAAAATTCTTTGCTCAAGTAAAGCAGCTTATACCCATATCTGAAAGTTTTCCTAAATGTATGTATGTTTGATTATAAGAGTCCTATCTCAAAATGTGATGCAGAGTTACTTAGATCGGTGGGTATAGCTTAACTTAACTGAACAAAACGTGAACTAAGTTGATTTCACTTACTCAATCATCTAATGTGAATAGGCAACAACTCGAAATCAGTAAATATTCAGTACTGATGACTTTTAGACGACTTCGAGGTGTCTAGTCAACTAGAAAGAGTTAGGTACATTAGTTTAAAAAATTATACAAAAGTTAAGTATAATATTTTAATGTAATGCGGAACAATTATTTCAGTAAATTTCATTTTACCTGTATTACTGTGAAATTCACTCAGAATTAGACCAGGTAGAAGAAAAATATTTGTAATTGATACAAGAAGATATAGTTTAGGCAAATAAAAACTCATAATCTAAGAAGCAACTGAAAAGAAAAAAAGAAAAAAAATATATTGAATATAATGAATAAATTCCTAGGGCATTTAAAATACCATATAGTTTTGATTAAACAATCAATCTCTAATTACTAATAACCTACTCATTGAAAACAACTTCACATAGTCTGAAGTAAAAAATAACCACGTCGTATATGACGACAGATATTCGACTATGGCACATGATGTTATTTTAAGCTATATCACTAGTTGTCAATGACAACATACGATCTACGGGGCCTAAAGGTGCAAGTTGCGGTCCCTGACGATATCGGGAGCATGCACTGTTGATGACATCCATACTAGAGCGAAACATCCTTTCAGTCCTCTCAGGTTTTCAGCGATCCTTCAAGTGATACGAATCCATGATGACTGCCAACCTGAAAAAACAACATCAGACAACAATCGTATTGTATGTATCAGATGAAGAAAGATATTTTCAATCATTCTCATTTCAGTCATTTACCTTGAATCTTGATTTCTGATTAAACTATGGACAGATGGTCTAGTATTTTTGTAAGTTCACTTCTACTGGATAGTTATCTGAAACTTGATATATGACGAGCATTCTAAGGTGATGAACAGTTTAAATTCAGTCACAGTGTTTCCGTCACTCATTCTTAAGTGGTATGCTATCAGAGTCTTACCACCTTACTATAGGAAGATTCCATTTCTGGCAGACAGAGTTCTTACATGTGAAAAATGTCAAAAACGTAGTAGATTTAGATATAATGACTTTTATTTGAAAAAAGAGCTGTTAATTTAGGACGGATATTCCGTAGCTGTGGATTTCAGGGAGCGTATTTCATCAGCTGGATGTACCAGTGAGTTATGTTGTTGCTACTAGGACTCCAACTCTTCACTTCAAATACTAGAGCGTTTTCCGCTAGACCACCTAGTCATGATAGCCACTTCTTGTATGACAAGTATAGTTTTGATGTTGTTAGTTATATTATTCCGTCTTTGGCTGGACCGGATTTGATCGGCCTGTATTGGTATGTAGGCTCCTATAAGGATGTCTTACAGACACTCATCAACGGCTGTCTACGTTCGATACTGAAGATCACATGGCCAGAAGGAATAAGCAACAAGGAACTCTGGTTGGCGACGAAGCAACCAAGAACTAATCACCCAACAAATATGCAGAAGGAAGTGGAGATAGATTGGATCGGACATACACTGAGAAGGCCGATTGGGGACATCACGCGTCAGGCCTTCGAGGGGAAATCCAAAGGCGAAACGATGAGTTGGGCGTCCGAGGGAGACATGGAGGAGATCATGTGAGAAAGAAATGAAAGTCTTTGGGCAGTCGTGGCGTCAAGGTTGAAAAGACTGCAGAGAAGAGAGTGCAATGGAGGCGTGCTACTGAAGCTCTAGGTTCCACTAGGAACCCAAGGGAACAATAATAAAATAATGATAATAAGGATGTCTGGATATCGATTATCTATCATTAATATACAATTGAAACGACAGGCGATATCGAAGGATCCTCAAAAGAACTCCATTGCCAATAGAGACCGATCAATTCAGTTCACTCAACTGCCGGGTAATACAAGCAACAGCACTAACACTGTAACTGTTAATTATAGTGAACTCAAGACAGGATTTATTCAGTGAAATGGATCAGATATTATGTAGTTGTCTGACTGTGAATTTAGTGTTATATATATCACTATTAGTTCATTCACTGACGTCTTGACAACATTTACAACGATGTAAAACCACTTGAACACTTCGGTAGGATGTAATGAATGATATTTCAGAACCATGCTTTGCATAAATGGGGTGCTTTCAGCTGCCATTTACGTCCCCTGAACTTAATGTGGTTAGTCATGACGGTTGCAGCACATCGTAACACAGATGAGGTGTTCTGTTTTGAAGTAAGTGACAATCAATAATTATAATCATATGAACTTTACTCACGTTCACAGATCACTGAAAAGGTTGAAGTTATCGCTACAGAGTCACAAATAGCAGGTTTGAGTTTCTGCTAATTTGTTATGTTCTGTCTCATAATGAAACCCAACCTGAGTATACATAGATACTGTGAACCCACACATTTGATAAATTTTAAGATAGAACTTTTGCAAATGGTCCCTATATGACCAGTGCAAAGTAGTTTATTTATAATAATGAATAGTGCAGTTATGCGCTAGGTGTTAGGAGCCAAACGACAGAGAAACTTAGATCTGAGTTTCGTGGTTTTTGACACTCATCAGCAAGGCGTATCACCGGCCTAAGAGATCTGTATGCCCTAGGTAATCCTGAACTGCTGAAGAAACTTTACTCCTATTCGCATGCCAAATGATAGTCTGTATAACTAAATTATATACCATAGCCAGTCACTAACGAGTAATCTATATATCTGTCTGGTTACTGAATGCTTATCGCTGACCAAAGTTTATTGATCAGTTTAGAACTAGGCCACTAAACTTTGTTTAGCCTTGAGCGATAAGAACTAGAAAGGTAACATCGACTTTCCACTAGAGACCAGTTCCTATAGATATATGTATCTGTGTAAGGTAATCATATAGCTAACAGGATACGACTGCAAGCAGAGTTATTGAGTTAAATGTATGCATATATATATAGATTAAATAACCAATTGTTACTTTTATTAACTACTTTGATATATTGGTACTTGCTTAAAAAAGCATTAGGACACATCCATTTCAATATGTTGTAAAAACCTTTAGCCATATCTATGAAAATTAGATAAATTATTTAACTGAAAGTCTGACATTGATGTGAAATTCTAAACTGTATCAGCAGCATACCATCGACTTAGAGAATAATATTAATCTGTGAAGATTTATAGATTAACGTCTGTAATTCAGTTAGATTTGGATTTAGATGAGAAGTCCTGACTCAGCTGGGCAGCCAGTGTGAATACGAGTAAGCGGTAGTAACGCATCACGTTTTCACACGGTAGTCGAGGAGAAACTCCACTTGTGATTGAAATGAAACAAAATAATCTGGTTAGGAGTCAGACCTCGTAGCTCAGTTTTTAGAACATTGGGTCGCAAAACCCAGTGGTTGCTGGTTCGAATCCTGCCACGATTCAGATTTTCATCTCACTTTCAACCATCATCATTCAGTATGAATATTAGTCTGCCAAACTATGGCTGCTATCTCAGATAGTCAAAATGAAAAACAGATATAGATTACAATAAACCTTCATTCGGCCTTTAAAAACCAGAAGGATGTCATAACGAGAGAATTGTCGTTTTTACGACTCATTTCCACAGGTGTCGCTTCATAAATATGTATGGATAAAATGGCAGAATACTCAAGACAAGTTCAAGGTCGAGATCATCAGCAATATATCTGGACAAATTCAGCTCACAGAGTCGAATTGCACGGTCCATATTGACATTTCCAGCGAAAATCCTGTTGACATCACTGTTGAAAAGCTAATCAGCTATCAGAAATGTTTATTCTATGGTCTTAATGGCCTTTTATAAAATACGTTGAATATTAAGATGTAAATGGTTAAAGATATGGAAATTAGAATTTTAAAAATTCTGCGGATATATTTTAACTGATGAGAAAGTTATAAGCTACTTGTTTAAATTTGTAAGTAGTTAGGCTTATCAATCTGGTTGAACTTTTCACCTTAATTATAAGTCTTTCACTACTGTGCATACGTACACTGTTAGAATGAGGAGCAGCATATACTTTCACTGAAACTAAAGACTGTTTTCAGTTATATTTACTTAAATAACAAACGGTTGAGTTTTTATATTTTGTACTTATGGAGATAACACCCTACTTACTAACTTATGGGTAGTTATTTGAGATATATTTCGTAGCCATAAAATCCCAGTAGATTGATTAATACAAGGAATAGAAAATAGACACTCAGGGGGGTTGGGGTGGGTTATGGGGATTAAGTGGTTTTTGAAGCTGGTATTTATCATGGACTGACATCACTTGGAGGAATATTGGAAACCTGGGATCGGTGGACAGCTGTATGACTCTAATATGAGACCTCGCAGCCGTGAACACCTGCCAGAGATTGGATCAAGCACTCATAGGTTACACAATAAGCAATTTGTCATTCAGTCACCAGATTGAAATCCAATGGTCCACATTTTCCAACTTTGTCTGCTTGTGATATTCCTCAACCTTCAGCTAGTGGCATAGTTGAGTACCTGTCCTCGAATCCGACTTGTTTCGCTGCATCAGCCACGGCTACTCAATAGAAATTCCGAGAATCTCACCTCTAAGGAAGTCAGTAATGAACGCAAGAGTAATTCATTTTGTAGGTTTTTGAGGATTTTATAGATTTCAAGTTGGCGTTTTGCTTTTACCTTGCAAGCGGATGATGCAGGACATGAGAATGAGGCGAAATACTTTAAATGCGATTTTAAAAGTGTAAGTTTGCTGAGTATTTTGATCGACCACCAAATCGTTAGAATTCAACTTGCACCCATCAGTGGTTTATTTGGGCCAATGTGTAAATCATTCAGAGGCTTAAAAGCACATAATCAGAAATAGTTGCTGTTCTAGACTCCTATCTTCCAACGTGTGTTGTGCACTTCAATGATAACAGTGCTTTTCATGTGACTAAATTATTTATAGTCTGATAATTTGAAATCCAAATTTGAATAGCGATGATCTGGGCTAAATAACTTGAATTTATGTCTTACAGAGGTTTCTTACCAATTATTTCCAAGCAGAAATTATATAGATGGTAGTTAGGTATCCTGTAAGCTTTAACATTTTGACATGAACATCTCATCATCAGACTTTGTGACATCTTTAGTACTACCTTCATGCACAAAAGTATATGATAAAATATCAAATCTTTGAGTAGATCGGGCTACCATCATTATCGCTCTGAGCTAGATATATTTTCCATCAATGCAAAAATAACAATGATACCTTAGTAAGTAGAAAATACCGACATACTTTAATCCGTATGATGTATGGACTGATTTCCAGCTACTTCAAAAAATTTCATGCAAAGAAAACTAATAAACATGAT